AAAGTATAGCAGTTAAAGTTGCTGCTTGAGAAAATACTGAACCATAGAGATAAAAATAGCCCTGTGATTCAAATTATAAATTGTATTTGGAATAAAAATGAGAGAACTAGGGGTGCTAAAAAACACATCCTCCAAAGACAGATATTTACATGGGGATGTGGCAGATAATTAATTGACATATTACTGAGCTTGCTGGATTTTATTCTGCTTTACTTCCATAAATTGCAGGATCTTCTTTACTTTATCTTTGCCAGAAGATTTAAACTTTAAAAGCCTTGTCCTCATAATTTGCAAGTTAATTTATTTATGAAGAAAATATAAACGCTGCTTAAACTAATTCAAATTAAATTAAAAGTAAAATAAGTAGCCAACCTTATCACTGTCTGTAACCTACTAACAAGGTAAGGAAAGCATCAGATGAGCTACCTGAGAAACTAACGTTACGTTTCCTCACTTTAAAACCAAACAAACATGGTTACTCATCCTGCTGATCTGCTCTCTTCACTGCCATTGAAGGCTCCAACGTGTTTTCTTTTCAGGTGCTGCGTCATAACAGTGTTGCTTCCGTGCCATGTTCATTTGTTTTTACAAAAGTTGCATGTTACTACTTTTTTCACTTTACAAAGCGCTGGCTATTTTAATTATTGTGATCAATTTGCGCCGTCAATCCCGGCGCATGCACGCTTCATTTGCAGTCTGGACGCTGAGGGTAAACATCCTGCGGCTCTGACTGCAGCGCTGAGAGAGATTCCTGTGGGAGAGGGAGAAAGGGGTTGGGATGGGGGAGGCGCCCCACAGCAGGCAAAAGCCGCCAGTGACACCGTAAAAAGTCGCCAGATTTGTCGCTAGTCGCTTTTTTGAAAATTAGTCGCTGGAGGGGTCTGAAAAGTCGCTGAGTTGGCAACACTGCAACTGCGGCGCTGACTCGCTCCGCCATAATTTTTTTTTTCTTCCCCCGGATGACAGCGGCGGCGGATGACGCATTAATCGCGCGACACAACTAATCGATGATTAAATTCGTTGCCAACGCTTTTAAAAGTCGATTTTTATCGATTTTATCGATTCGTTGTTGCAGCTCTAATATAGATGTGTATATATAACGCTTGCAAACTGATTCATTACTTTTATAGAAAATACTCTGACCTTTTTAATCCTTTGCCTGAAAATTATCCATAGTATTAAAAAAGATAAAAAAAAAAGTATCTAATAAAACAAGCCAACCAATTCTAAAAACAGGTTAGATCTAACTGAATTAGAGAAGAACTAGGTAAATAAAACTAAGCTAGGAAGAGAAAATCCCAAAAACTTTTTATACCCTGTTCCTGGTTTTTTCATCTTGGAACTGTTCCATCCATGACCCCCATAGTGGAAGACTTATGCAAACACTCAGTTTGTGCTGATGAAGATGGTCTTATTTAGAAACAATAAGTTAGCCTCGTGAGACCATCCTGATCTCGCGAGCTTTCAAGGTTTCACTCGCAGATTAGTCTGGCTACTCTCTGTTAAAGAAAATTTGGAGCAGTTCACCAAACCAAGCCGATGAAACTAGCATTAGCGTGGCTATCGAGCAAGTTTTATCGGAATTACAGAGTATTTCTTCACTGAAAGAAGAGCAAAACACTGCTCTGGAGGCTTTTCTCAGAGGAAAAGATGTTTTTGCTCTTCTCCCGACTGGTTTCGGCAAGAGTTTGATCTATCAATTGGCTCCTCTTCGTCGTCGTCGCTCTGTTAGTATGTCATATGCTTCGTTGATCTGATTGGTTTATTTGGCCCGTCTATCACCAACATAGGCCAATCAGCTAACCAGTATTTTCGCCCCTTCCCAAAATTACTTCAACGGAAGGTTTCCAGATGGATATGCGGAGCAAATCCATCTGGCGGAGTCAGGTTAACAATAATGGCTAAAATTAAGGCCACTGGGATTTATTCAGCCAATGAATATAACACACTTTGTAGATGTGGGCCTAAAGTGTCATGTCTTCATGTTTAGACCCATTTTTAGGCAAGATGAAAAAAAACCTCTGACTTTGATGGTTCAGATGTGAAGACCGTTTGGGTGTGCTCCATTTCAAATTTGGAATTTGGAGAAGATTTAAGCTTTTAATCTAATATCAGAAATTGTTTAGGTTAGGTTTTTTAAGTTATCTGCTAGATTTGATCTGCAGACAAGAGTCATCTATACTCAAAGACATTTCTATAAAGACGCAACAATTAGATAATATCAATAATCCCAGCAGTAAATCCTAACCTGATCATCATGTAACCCCCCCATGAAACAAAGCTGCATCATTACCGTAACCACAACTAGATCAGAAGCTTTTTTAAAGCTATTTTATCTTGATCTCAAACAAAAAAATCTTTATCCAGTAACTCCAGATCTAAAGAAGTAAGCTGTTAAGAAAACGGTAACAACCGACTGCACCATGTGTGTGGATGCTAACAGCTGTAGGTCAAAAGTTAAGGCTGATTTATAATCAGAAACCAGGTCGTCTGTCGCAGTGAATGCAAATATTCCCCACCCCTGCCGCAGACACTCTTGTGCACCTCTCCAAAATTGTAGGGGACAGACAGTACTGAAGAGAGGAGGACTCTGATTGGTCAAATCTAAATCCGCTCTACACTATGCGTATTTCCTGTTTGGTACCTAAGCGGCTTGTTTTGTTTGTGTGACCGCCATTATAGAAAACGACTCTAAATTGAAGATGGACCAGCTAGAAGAGCGAGGTGCGCGAGAACGCTGGGACCCTTTTTCCACCTGGATCCCCGATCTTTTTCGCCCTCATGTCCTCCGTTGTCACACAAACTTGCCTCACTTCCTCGCCGCCTCGGTCGTACCTAGACCCACAGCTAGTTCCTGATTGTCCCTCTTGTTTTGTGGCATGGAATGACATAGCGCAGACCACGCTTCAATATTGGGCATAAATAAAAAATATCTGCGACAAGCTAACAGCGACACACTGACCTGCTGTGTTGGGAGTATAACCAGCCGCTTAGCCTGCAGAGTTTTCTTTCTCTGGAGATTCAGTTCTATTCAGTTTATTTATAAAGCACCATATCACAACACATGTCAAATTAAGTCACTTTAAAGAGACTATTACCTCATTTCCACTACCCTTGAAAAACCGATCCAGGCCGAGACCGGTCTGAGCTCGGATCAGTTAACCAGGCCGAGCTCGGTTCTGACGATCGTTTACAAATCACGCTATCTCGGTTCCTCGCCTCCTAGTGACGATCTGCGGTATTACTGCCAGTATTGAAGGAGGAAATCAAGCAGTTGGTGGCGGTAATGCACCAAAAGTTGTTTGCCAACCGTCATAAAACACAAGAAGAAGAAGACGAAGAAGGAGGAAATCAAGCAAATCAAAATGGAGGCGCCCGTCACATTCAGAAAGTTATGTTTGATTATTATTGCTGTACTTCAGTGTTATTTAAAATGTTGCGTGGAGAAGATTTCGATTGTTGTTCATAGTTGTTCTTCTTCTTCTGTTTGGTGTTGGTTGGCAAGCTGCTTCCGGAGGGGCATTAGCGCCAACTACTGGAATGGAGTGTGAATCGCGATGTGCAGCCAGACGGAGATGACGCGCTCTACTCATGCGCTCTTGTTATCAGAGAACCGGGCCAGGGAAAAACTGAGCCGAGCCCACCTCTGGAACTGGTCTGCAGTTAGCTCGGTTCAGTTCAGTTTGCTTTCCATTTACACACGATAAGTTATCTCGGTTACTGAGCTCGGACCGGTTTTTCAAGGGTAGTGTAAATGGGGTATATTAAAGGGTCGACAATTGCTGAGAATGACAATTTATTTATTTTTTACTACTACTGAAGCAGCTCATTGCTTCCCCTTCTAACTTTTCAGAGACGCCCCTGTTGTTGCATGGGTTTTATGTTTATAATCTGTGTAAGGTCTTAAAAGTCCTTGTTACAGCAGCTTTTAGTTCAGTCATACATCAACTTTAATGATTTACACTGAGCTGTGAAAGTTGGCTGCTGTTTGTAAAGTAACGAGCATCAGGAGAGGAGTGGTGCAGCCATAAAGTGAGCACAGCCGGCCTCTGATGATGCTGCAACCAAGTAGCAGCTGCTTTATAAACCCTCCTTCCTCTGCCTCACATTAGCATAGGCTTAGAGCCCGAAGCCTTTCTAACTATGGGCGCCATAATTGATCGATAACTTATTAACAGCTCAGTCTCACCTCCGAGTTTATACTGGAGAAGGGAGACGGAGAGGTGCGCGCGCTTCTGGTCGATTTCTCTTCCATTGACCGCGATATTTAGCGCATGGATTTTTCTATTTAAAAAAATCCATGTCGGTGATAATCTGGAGTGTAAACGCAGTGCGTCGGAGAGGAGAGGAGAGGGGAGAGGCTATGGCCGGGAGGCACATTCACACACTTAATGGGAAAAAAAAACCCATGCAATTTAAATTCAACTCAGCTGACATTTTACGCACATTTTACGCATACGCGCACGTGGCCTTCCAGAGCCCAACATAATTACTAATTTAAGAGGCGCGCGTGACCGTGCAGGCTTTGATTAGGCGTCCGCCTCTGGAAAAAAAAAAAGAAATACATTAGCTGAGGTGTGCAGGTGACCTTGCGCAGGCCGGAGCTGCGTAAATCCATACAGAGAGAAGCAGAGATCCACCTGCTGAAATATGCATCAAAGGTTCCTCCCCTTTGAATTCATGTCCGCACATTGTGAGCAGCGGATCGATCTCTGAGGCCGGAGATGATGTGATTATTGGCTTCATTATAATCAAATAATCACATGATCAATGGCTGGATCCTGTTCAGGATTATGGTGGTAATGAAATGTGAAGCGATGGGTTTTAATGTGTGCTTGGCCCCGATGATAAGGAATATAAATGTTGGATGTGCAGAGGAAGTGTGTGTGTTGGGGTGACGGGGCTCTGGGTGGAAAGGGGAGGGAATATGGGGGTGAAAGGAAAGGGGGGGCTGGGGATCTCTACGTCTGTCTCCCGGTGAGAGCGCCGAGCCAGAGTGCGTTCAGGCTGCGCGGCGTCGGAGCAGAAAACCGGGGTTCCCAAAATAAACCGAAGGCACCCCGACCCTCAGACACACTGAGAGAGAGGGAGGGAGGGAGAGAAAGAGAGAGAGAGAGGGAGAGAGGGGGGATCCAGGCGGGGAAAAGACCGAGGATGGAGCAGCAGAGCCAAAGAAAAGACACCACAGCCTGAAAGAAAGCGCCCTTCCCTCCTCTTTTGGTCGCTTCCTCAGCTGGAGAGGAAACGGAGGACCGCTGCGCTGATTGCTATGGATTCACCGCTTTATTTTTCTATCGATTTAGCTTTAATTAGTGACCCCCGCCAGTGAAGGAGGAACAGGGATCCAGCGAGAGGAGGAGAGGGAGGAGCGAGAGTCAAAGAGGGGGTGCTGCCTGCCTACAGCCTTACTTTAATATTCCATTAATTCTTTACCAAATAATCTTTTTACTTTGCATTGTTGTGTCGCTTTGAGTTTTCTCCTGCGGACCAGACAGCTACTAACCAAATATTTACAAGAACCAAAAAATAATAATAATAATAATTAAACGCTATTCCACTAAGACACGGACAGTTTTTCCCCTTATTTTCTCCTTTTTCAACCCGAGGATTCACTGTTGGACAGTTTGAGACTTTAAAGGACAGAACAGGAGGATACTTTCATTTTTATTCAAACTCAAACCAAAGCAAAACTCAAGACGGACACCGAGGTTCTCCCATCTTTACGCACAGCCACCGGGACTCTGATTGCGCTCCGACTCTTCACATGGGTGCGATGAGAGCTGATCTGATCCAGGCTCATAAACCTCTGGCCTGTTTGGATAAACACTGGTAGCTTTATTTATTATCCCAAAGCCAAGCAGCGCGTCGGTGTCTTTTTAGAAATTATCCTTCCGATTGACCAAATCTGAAAGTAGAGAGATGTGATTCTGCGTCCAGATTTACTGAAAAACCAAACTTCCCAAAAGCATCTGAGAGCTGCTGTCCACAAGCAGAGAGCAGAGAAGGCAGGCCAGGATAGGAGAAGAGAAGTGAGACCAGAATAAACAAAAACAAAAAAAATCCAACGACCACCAGGTCGACAGAGGACCATGTTTGTCCCCCTGCCGGTCCCCTTCGTCTTTCAGAGAACAGCGTCCGACTTCAGCGCCTGGAGACTCAAGTCCTCGCTGGTCCCGCGGTCCAGCCCCGGTAAGCTCCCTCCTCAGGTCTCCCACAGTGTAATTCATCCACGTCCTGCAAAATTACAACACCTTAACCTGCTTGCATGCAGCAATATTTAACTCTTTATTTTTAGTCCTAAATATCCTCTTCTTAATAAGTTAAAGGAAATAATAATGAATAAAAATGTGTTATTTACTCCTAATGCAAAGATTATTGGTTTTCTATCTTCACAGAAAATGTTTTTATCCATTTATTTGTAGAAGAGAAATAGAATGTCACTTTTAAAATTATAGTTTACTTGAATCTCTTTATTTTACTCTAAATCATAGAATTTGCAATTCATAATTTTCCTTTTTATATATTAACATGCATAGCTCTTTATATGACTGCCTAAAGTTTTAAAAATGTGATTATTCTGCTTTTTTTCAAATAAGAAAAATTGCCTCTTTACTTACTTGCATATGAATCCCGTTTGTAAAGCGTTTCTCCAAACCGGACGCATGAATATTTTGTCTCATTAGCATCCATCAGAGTCTCAGAGCTGCGCCACTCTCCTCTTGGCTCCCGCTCCTCCATCCATGTCATCCTCCATCCATCCCATCTGCCTCCTCTCCTCCAGTCTTTCTCGGCCGGCTTCGGGGGCTGATATTCATGGTCGTCTATTGATCAGGATGTATTGATCCCTGACTGTTGGGAAAACGGGAGTCCAGTTGGAGAAAGGAGAAACTTTGGCGAACAGGAGAGACAGGGGACATTTTAAGAAAATGCTTGAAGTGAAAATCTTTTATTTAAAAAATAAAAGTACACCCGTTTATTTTTTAAATTTTTGATTTTGCAGAATGGTCTTAATGACAGAAGGGCTTGAATTGCTCCTTTCAGACATTATGCTAATAATCACCTCCCTTTATGCTTGATTTATTACTTAACCACTGCTTTAAAGCTGCTTTCCTGATCAATATCCCGCGTCTCATCATGTCTTCTGCTTAATGATTTGATCATTTTCTTAAATGGATATTTGTGCAACAAAAAAAAGATCATTTTACATCTTATTAATTAGGATAAATGAAGTTATAAGTTGGTGTTAATGTTTAGGTGCTTCTTTGTTCCTTCTGGGTTTTTTTTACGTAATAATAAAATATATGAAGAATTTAAGGTTCAGCACATTAGATAAAGGTGTAAATATATGCTGATCCGAGCCGAGCCGTGTGGTGGTAATTCAGACTATCACCCTAAGTAGGTGTCAGGAGGAGAGAAACGGTGGAGGTTTTTAATGAGCTGCTTCTGCTGCTGTTGACAGGCAACATATAACCGGCGTGCAGCTTCTGTTTTGGAGGGGGTGGGGTCCATTTGTCGGCCGGTCCTCTAAGAAATTAAAGTTAAAGGAGAAGAGGACGCTGGGAGCAAGAGAGGCGATGAATGATTGGATGAATAAGAGAATGGCTGCATGCATAAATGAATAATGAATGAATGAGGGGGGTTAAAGTGGCAGCAAACAGGTGAAAGGAAGCAATAAAGAGAGCATGAAGTAAACGTTGAATCAAAGATTGTTCGGAGGAATCGATCAACTAAGGAATGTGTTTGACCTCGGCCGAGAACGTAGGAGGAACATTTAACCAATGTGTAAAATGTGAGGGTTTCCAAGTGAGCCATCTCCCCTGTGTGTTTCTGCATGTGAGGAAAAGAAAGGGTTAGAGTTCCTGCTCCGGCTGCTTTTTTTATTTAAACACATCGCTGTGATAAGCAGCCAATACACAGGAGAGAAATAAACTGTACATGAGTGCAAAACACTCATCCGTCCCTTTTTTTTTCCAGTTGTTTCTTCTCCCCACCTTTCATCGACGCTCTCCAGAGAGATGCGAGCAGAGAATCTGCTGTTTCCTGTTGTCTTTCCCATTTCTGTGAAGTAGGATTCGCTCGACACGGAAATGCAAACTCTCCTCCCGTCTGTTAACTCCCGTCTGCAGCTCGTCCCTGCGGACAGGAGGGTTGCAGAATTGGATTTAGTTTCGGTGTTCTGGTTGGGCCTTGTAAGCCACTTTAGCTGAATCGTCTTGCTCTGATCTGGGGTCTGTGTGCGTGTGCAGGTGTGCACGTTTAGGTGTGTGAGCGTGCACAGATCTGGGTGTCTCCCAGATGAGGTGAGTGAGGTCCAGGGAAGAGCAGAACGGCAGACAGAGGCTCTATGCTGGATTTAAGCTCACAGCTTTAGGTCTTAAACTCTGGTGCTGGACATACTGACTTGGAGACTGAAACTAAAGTTTGATATGAGATACTGCTGAAATGCTTCTTTTCTTGATGGTCAGATCTCATTTTCAGACACACAAACAATGCTGTTCCCTTTCCGTATAATAAATTTGCACATCATGGCAGAAGAGATCACGCTCTCCACAGCAAAACTAGAGATCAGCAGCATCTGGCTGCAAACGCTGAAACACCCAAGTCTGCTGTGTCCCTTCAGCTTCACAGTTTCAGCTCCAGTCCTGTTTGTTGACCTATTGGACACCAAGACGTTCATACTCCTCCATCGCCTCCACTTCCTCTCCTGTTTCTTTTCCCATTTGTCCTAAAATCTACAATCATCACCCTTTGCTTCTGTCATGATTATATGATGTTCTTCTTTAGCTGCTTTGAAAAATCTCAAAACAATATTTCACCATGTTGCTGAGAAATGGTGGACTTTATTACAGACTTGTCTTGAGATAAATAATGATGCAAACATGTTAATTTAAATAAGTCTGGGATTGTTAAACCTAATTTCTAATTTAATTCGATTCAGTTTATTTTTATTGCGCCAATTCACAACACGTCATCTCAAGGCACTTTACAGTTCACCAGATCATCCAGTCTGATTGATTCAAAGTTTTTTTTCTACATTAAAAAAACTAGTTGATTGCATCGACTCATTGATTTGAATGCAATCCCTCACACTAAGCATGCTTGTAGCGACAGTGGGGAGAAAAAACTCCCTAATAGTCCAAATCTGCCTTCTATGTAAAGTTAAAGCCCCCGAACACTTAGTGACTAGCAGCTACTAAGAAAAGGATGCCTACATTTGTGTCCCTTAGCTGCTCTAATTTTTGAGAAAAGTAAAACTAGTACTTTTATTTTAATAAAGTTTCAAAAATAAGCTGGATTTGGTTTTGTACTTTCATTGCTGGACAGCAAACAGCCTTTTAACATATAAGAATGAATAAAAGCTGAATTTAAAGAGCAAAAACACAACTGCCACTTTAAAATGCAGTTGTAATACAGAAAAAATCTGTTTTGAACTTTTCAGAATTTCAAGTTTCACACAGTAAACATATCCTTTAATCTAAAAAAGGTTTCTCCTCATTAAAGCCAAATATACTGGGAGATGATTGGATGACAAAAGTAAAATAAAAGTAAGTAAAATACTCAGAAAAAAGTAATGTTTCTGTATGTTAAAGGAAGCTTTCTCTCTCTGAATATTTTCCTGAAAAGGGATCGCTAGGGACAAACTCTTTAAATAACACTTCATAACATATATGTATTAAATAAACAGGAGATAAGACAACAGCCGCGACAAACAGGTAGCGAAGCATTTTATACTTCAGTATGTCACATCACTACTGGCCTAATTAGATAAACTATTATGGAAAACATCAGTTCTTTCATGCAACAATCAGCTAATATTAAGGTGCAATGAACTCACACATCATCAGTGATAATTATCTTAACATGTATGAGATCTTCAGACACCACTTTTTATCAGAATTAAGTGGTTTGCAGCATTTTAATTAAATTCTACATATAGTAATACTTTATGGCTAATAGTTTGTCTGTCGTCCTTTCTTTTTCCAGCATGGTGTCAGCTGTGTTGCATAAAGCTAACAACCTTCACCTAAAACATGCAAAGCATTAACTGACAGAAAAAATGTCCAATCTTTTAAACTTTATATTTGCTTTTGATTGTGAATGCAAGCTGCTGCGTTTGGCTCTCCTGCATGATTTTGGGCTAACTGATCATGTCTGGGTCTGAATTAACTTTCCTTTCTGTCTTGATTTCTGAAGACATCTATAAAGACATTGTCGTGATAATTATTTAAACATTTTGTTAGTAATGTTTATTTAAAATTAAAACTAGGCAGTTTCAGTCAGTGTTGGAGCTGCTGTTAAAGTATAGGTTCTCAGGAGGAACCCTGAGATCTCATTCATGTCAACCGCGGCCTACAGAGACAACAAACAGAACAAGGAGCGAGGAGCATCTCTTCTCTAAAACGCAGCTTTTGTTCTTTGTTGATTTCAGTTATGAAGCGCCCTGCAAACAAACCATCCTGTCCGAATTATTTTCAGTTGCCTCTAAGAGTTAAATCCTCCTTTTTTGTGCAGCTGGGAGATCTGATCAGAGGGTTTTTATTCTGCTGTGTGGTTTTCAGAGGGCAGGCTGGGCGGAGAGGGACCTGTAGCTGCCTCCGCTTTGTCCCCGCTCTGCAGCACAACAAAGGAAATCTAAATGCTCTTTTATTTTATGTACACTGCTGTAAAATCCTCCAGGTCCGCTGTGGCCCATATAAAACTGAGAGCTTTCAGGGTCTGGATTGAGAGAGATGCTTTATTTATGCCGGCCACTCTGTATGGCCTCCTGCTCAGGCTGCGGCGGCACCAACTTCTTTATCATCGATCCTCTGCAACATTGTAAATCCAAGGTGATGAAAAGTCATTATTTTACATGATTATTTTACCAGAAAGAAAGAGAACAAAAGGAAGAAACGGCTTCAGGAGGCCATAAATGACCAGAGTAAAGAAACAATGAGGCTGTGTGGCAGCACTGCAGAGAAACTTTTATTGCAGAGTTCAAAGCACAGACCTCCTGCCCACACAACAACAAACCCTTACACATATACAGCCATATATAGTGTATATAAACGCAGTGTTTGCTGCTGATAACTACCTTCCCTTTCACCCAGGATCTTCACCTCACAGAGCTCAGTAGGGGGGTTTGTGGTGTCTGTACTACACCTAACTGAGCCTGAGCAGAGGTCCCCCCATGTCTGCATTAATTGCCT